CTCTCTCTCTCTCTCTCTCTCTCTCTCTCTCTCTCTCTCTCTCTCTCTCTCTCTCTCTCTCTCTCTCTCTCTCTCTCTCTCTCTCTCTCTCTCTCTCTCTCTCTCTCTCTCTCTCTCTCTCTCTCTCTGTATGGATCATCATAAAACGTAGATTTCTTTATTTGAAATGATCTTCTTGGCTTCTTTCTTTTTTTTTTTTGAACTCGTTCTTGATGTAAAATTGAAATGGATGTCATTGAATTCATTAATTCGTTAATTCATTCTGCTATATTTTTGAATTTTTTCGATAAGTATGAAAGAATTAATAACAAACTATATTAGACAATATTGAAGTTGCAGAAAAGCTTACGTTCATTCCAAATTCAGAGAGGATTAAGCATTTTATGGATCCAAAGTATAATAAAATAAATATAAATGTAATTATAAACTTGTAATTGAAATTACAAGTACGGGGACTTATGTATCTAACTTTGATTATTATAATTTCGACTGCTCAAAGATTGTTTGTTTCATATTTTTACGTTTCATTTAATTTCAAAGTTAGAATTTTGGAGATATTTCGAATCATAATTCATAAATACGCACATTAATTAGCTGTATTCATATCGACAAAAGATACTTACATACTTACACTAACCAACCTAATAAATGAATATAACTGTTAATCGTCCTCGTCAACAGATAACTTCATCTCATGTTGAAACGTAAAACGTTTGCGGAATATCTCGACCAGTTCGTTTTTTTACCTCAACCTAAATATATTTTAAATACTTAATTTGGACGCCCTTCCACACACACACCGTGTCGACCACCGTGCGCGACGTACGTGTAATCGCTGTATCAAATAGAACCGATAACGACACAAGGTTACGCGTGCGTGGCATGGACTGTAATAGCAATAATTTCTCGCCAAGTAACGATCGTTTCGTACCACCGTATACGGACGAACTGGGAATTCGCCCTAGACTCGCTCAGACGTATAGAAACACGATCGTAAATATCGTTTCGTGGTCTCCTAGTGTCTTAACGGGGTCCAGGATTTTCGTTTCGGGAAATTGGAGAGGAAGATCGATTCATGTATGTGCCTTACTCGTAGTATTTGTTTCGATGTTTCGAAATTATTGCTGTCGGTTATTTAGGGATTGAAAACGGATTTCTTCTT